AATTCCTAGGAACTAACGGATTTCTTCGCCTCTTAATAGCCTATAGCTCCGCTTAAGGGCGGCCTCGGGGTCGTCGGCGTTAGTCTTACGGTCTTTATAATATATAAGTCCGATATTATCGGCGTAGAAGAATAGGATTAAACTATCGCGGATTATAATATAGGGGTTATTAGGCACGGCCGTGAATCCTATCTTCTATAGCATACCGCTAAATTCCTCTTACTATAATAGTAGCGATACCCTTAGACTGAAGAGGGCTTTCCGCAGTAATAGGACCTTACCTAGTACCTTATAGCCTTACGGTATCTTTATAAACACCTCTTCTTTAAGGCTAGCGTTAATAAACGCGTTAATAGTATCAAGCTACCTTATCTCTAGATTAAAGCGGGCGGCGATCGCTATTAGTATATAGAATAACCGCGATACTAGCGTAACGGCGTAGTTATCTTTAGTCTTTAACCGTTTTTATTAATCCTCTCGCACTATAAGGCGTGCCTTATACTTAAGGAGGGTGCCCTCCTTATTAAATTTATATATATATACCTATCTATAGGTAAGGACTTATTACTTATTAGCCTAATCACCGCTTACCTCCAACTAGCAGCCTATCTATTATTAGCCCTTAAGGTATTTCCCCTCGGCCTATAACTACCGCTCCCGTAACGGGTATAAACGTATATCGCGGTAGTAGTTTAGCGGTAGCGGGAGATCCTCGCGGGTTAAACGTAATAGGGAGGCGTTAAAGGGAGAGGGATCTATAGTACTAGCGCCGACGACATTACCGTTATTAATAGCTTACTTCCTCCCGCGTATAGGGTTATAAGTCCTTTTAGCGTTAAAGAACGCCTTCTAGGTATTATTATTCTACACCTTCATAGTTGTGTATAAGCTTATAATAATTCTTATAATAGATAGGCGCGCGGCTGATAGGCGTGCGGCCGATAAGCGTACGGCCGATAGGTACCCCTTAGGGGTATTTATAGCTATCCGTTAGTGGTTATCGTGTTCTTCTACCTTAGCACCCCTAACCACCGCTAACGCTATAAGAAACGCGCGCGCGGGATCTTCCGGGGATATTAAAGGCGTGGGAAACGGTTTAAACCTCGTAGGGGTGAACCGTGAAGTATCAGTATTAATAGCGGTAGCCTCTCCCGTAGTAATAGCGGTGGTATAGTCTTCTCCTATAGTAATAGTAGTGTCTATAGTAATAACGGTGCCCGTAGTAATAGCGGTAGCGTCAGAGTCTTCCGACTTAAGATCTAATACGTCTACGGCTATGCCCCTTAATAGTAGCCTATTCGCGGTCTTATTAGATTTGGTGATACGGATTGATTATAGGTGTTCCCCGATTTCCTTAGCGGAAGCTATAGCTTATAGTCTTTTAATCATGCTATTAAATATCTCGTCTTCGTTAAAGACTACATCTCTTATAGTAATAATATATATTAGGTATAGTAGCTGAATACGGAAGCTATTCGAGGATTAGTATCCGATATAATAACCGATCGATACCTTCGGTTCTAGCCTTTATAGACGGTTTCTTTTAGCTTAGGCATCGCGCGTTTTTATAAAGGCTTTATAGCTGTAAGCTTATAGGTGCGTAAGGTTAGGTTAACGGCCGCGTAGGCCTTCGTATAGCGTTCGTTAGTCGTTAATATATCGTGGCGTCCTATTATATAGATATATAATAGTGTTAAAGATCTTAGGCTAGATAGATATAGGCAGATTAGCTCTAATCCTTATAGCCCTCGCCCTTCCCTTAACGATACCTTTAATCCGTTCTATAACGCCGTTTTAATCCTATAAATATAGTGCCGACGGCTAGCCTTTTACCCCCTTAGTAGCGAGGAAAGTAATAACTTCTAGGTGCTAAAATATCTCGGAATCGGCTTATAGGATATATAGCCTTATATTAAATTAGGTCTTAAGCAGGGTAAAAACGTCTTTTAACGCGTATAGGATAGAGCCTTAGTCTCTCTTCTATAGGTAGTAATCCTACGTATAACTTATATACACGTCTATAACGAATATAATAGACTTATATAGGCCGCCCGCTAATAACTCTGCCTTTTGTAGATCGTGAAAATTAATAGCTAGGGCCTTTCCGGGCTTTAACGGGTGAAAAGATAGTATCCGCCGGATCTATATAGGTACTTACGATTACCTATACGCGTTATAGTCCGTTATACGAGGTCCCTTTATCTTTACCCCCTAAGTGGCGTCGACGATCTTTATAAGAGTATCGGTACCGTAGTGGCTAAGGCGTTTATACCACTATTATACCGTGGTCTTCTACGGTTACCGCGGTTATCGTGATATTCTATACGGGTTATCGCGCAGGTGCCTTACTAAGACCGCGAATACAGTAGCGGCCGTGGCTTCGGCGCGCTCGATTATTTGCTAGCTATAGATATCTAGCAGCTTATAGATAGGCCGGTTATTAGCGGAGCTAATAATAGTATCGTTTACGATATCCTAGCGGTAACCTTATAGGTATAGCTAGTATTCCAAGACGATATTAGTAACGAATTCCTTATAGTATATAACGTCACGGAAGGCGTAATAGCCTTTTTATGCCCGATAGGGATTATATACGTAGCTTAACGTCTCCGTATTCGAGGATAGAAGCTTTATAAGTACGCACCTAAAAGGATAAAGATAAAGTATTAGTGGGTAGTCTAATAGCTGTAAACCAGCCTTAATTATTAAAGATATAGATTAACGATCCTAAATCTAGGATCGTGTAGTATAATAGCGCTCTGGCTTAGTTAATAGAAAGGGCTACCCTTTATTCTTATTATAATCTTAATAGTATCATTATACGATAACGCGCTACCCCTTAGGTTAGGTAGGCTCCTAGTTCTATCGCGGTACCGGACAGATCTTTATAAATTATTTTCGTAGTAGGCGTAGTATTATAGACTTAATCTTCCTAGACTTCCTCTATCTTATTAGCGGTAGTAGTTATTACTTCCCGCCTTTTTTGTATCGCGGTATCCACGCGGCTTTTAAAACTATAGTTATATATCTTCTTATATATAACCTTTATAATATCTTCGCGGCCGCGCTAGGTATAAGGGCGTATATCCGGCCTTATATACTAATAGGCGGCGGTAGTATAGGGGTTCTTCTATATCTTATAAGGCCTCTTTATTACGGGAGGGATAGCCTTTACGGACGTATCGCTACGAGGACGCTTCTTATTATCTTTATTATTAGTAGTATCCTTAGTATCAGGGAGGTTCCCGAGGGTATTAAAGGTGCCTCTCCTGACTCTAGACTTTATAGTAGAGGATTATAGGCTTTTTATATTACTAAGAACCGCCCTTAGAGCCTTTACGAAGTCGTTAATCGTTAGCTCGTTTTCCGTAATCTTATCGTAGTTATTAACTAGGTAGTTATTACTCTATTCCTAGGTAATAGGTCTAATAGCTTTTCACGCGTTTTCTACCTAACGGTCCGCGCTTAATAGCTCTAAAACGCCTATATATTTATAGTGTATTATTACTATTTTCTAGCTTACTACCTAGGCGTTTATATCCTTAGGTATAGCCTTTATAGGCGTGGTGTATTATCGGTATAGGACTAAGGCTTCCTTATAGAGGTCTATAGGTATCGGTTCTATATACGCGTGTAGGGGAGTAATCTAGGCCCATGGGTTATTTACGGTATCGTCTTATAGCTAAGCTAGGAGGCTATATAGCGTAGTATAGACGGTTCCTTTAATATAGGAGTATACCTTATTAAACTCCTTCTACTACGGGTTGTAGTCTGCCTTGTCTTCGCGGTATACGCGGCGATCTTATAGGTAGCGCGTACGCCCTTTTTTAGAGAGGTCGTTAATAGATATAGGCGTCCTTATCGGTGGTTCTTTTATTATAGCCGTAACCTTCCTATAGGCAGTCGTCTTCTTCTTACCTACGGCTATAGCCGCCGTGATAACGGCCGTGGTAGCCGTGGTAACGGCGGCGTCCGTAGCGTCCTCGTCGCCCTCTAAAATAATAGTAGAAGATAGAGTAGCCGTAACGGTGGTAGCTATACTTTCCTCCGTATTAGGGTCCACGTTAAGGGCTTCGTATTTACGGATATTAGGTGGCGTAGGCTTAAGAAGCAGGTAGGTATTAGCCTCCTTATCGCTTAGCTTTAGATTAAGATAGTTTTCCTAATAGGAGGCAGATTTACCGCGCACGGCGCGCTCCCACGTTACCTAATCCCTCTAGTTAATAAGGGTAGTAGCGGCCGCCTTCTATTCGGCGTTAGATATATTAGAAGATATCTTTGCTTACTTATCGGTTAATATATTAATTAATAGGTAGGTCGATAGGTTAATTAATCGCTTAATTACTCTAATTAGGTCGATAATAGTTATTTAAGAGTGCTTATATAAACGTGATTACTTTCATAGTAGAATAGGGGTAGCCTTATTAATATCTATCGTTTAGGCGTTATAAACTAGGCTTATAACTATCGCACGCCAAATAGCACTTAGATAATTAACTTAGTAGAGCAGAAATCTCGTGTGTGTGTATTATATAAAGTTATATCTATATAAGTCTCTTATACCCTTAATTTAGGTAGTAAAGACTCTATTATAGGTACTATATCCTTTAGATCCCATCCGGTCTTTTCCGGTATCCGCCCCTATTATATCCTGATGCCCGAGGTCCGAAGCCCTTAGTTAGGGAGTGGATCCCCCCTGGATCCCCTATAGACCACGTCGTGGTCCTGCCTGTACAACAGCAACCTCCTAAGCTTATTAGTTAAAACTACTTTAAGTGTGTTTAGGTACGTATATTCATATAGTAATTATACCTTTATCTTTTAGTTATATTCAAATTCAGTCAAATTCATAAGCCCTATAGCCATAAGGATAGTCTGAGCTTGCTGAGATAAGGGAGTACCGCGTTCTGTCCCTGCCTAGCGTACCTTCTTAAGCTAATAAGGTAGTACAAAGTACGTGGTAACTACCTTCTAGGTTGGTAATCCAAGATATGCGTAGGTATAATCCTTACCTTCAATATTTGACTTTTTTCCCTACAGATAAACTCGACGGTTACGGTTTCGGGACGGAAATGGCTTCTCGAACAGAAAATGGGATACCTACTATCGACCTGCGATCAAAACTTCACTCTGCTCTCCTAGATTCTGACGTTCGTCCACGTCAAATTCAGCTGGCGGCCTCTCGACGCCGCGACCTTGATTCTCCACACACCAGCCGCTTATCACCTACTGCAAAGGCCCTCCAACGCTCATGAACGGCGAGGTCGGACACCGGCGAAGCAAACTGTAAATATTCGCTGACTACACCGTACACGAGAGCCAAAGGTCATGCTATTTCTTCCTCACCAACTGCGCCATGTCTGATATAAGACGCCGTTTGCCACCGACAAAAACTTCATCTGAAGAGAAGGCACTCCCACCGGTGCAAGACGACCACACAGCAAAGGTAGTCAAAGATGTTCGGGTTACCGAAATACCAGAGAAGCCTAAGACGCGCAAGCGTCGCACCACTGCCATCTTTCTGCTAGGGAGTCTGTTTGGCATCATTGCTGCAGGCTTCTTTGCAAAAAGCAGTGATTTGATCGACCTTCCTGAACTAGGCGAGTTCAGCGTGAACAGCCTGCTCGATGCCCTCCCTGCCGGTTTGATTGCCGATATGCGCGATTTCGTGGTGAGTGCAACTGCACGATTCCTCTCGGTTTTCCTAATTCTGAATAAATCGTTTACAGAAAGGAGAACGTGACTTTGTCGACAGTTATGAGGCCTTTGCCGTCGGTCTACAAGCACGCGCCGAGGGCCTCGAGGCCCATCACCCAATGATCATGGTCCCCGGCGTCATATCCACCGGCCTCGAGTCGTGGGGCACGACCAATATTTCGCGTCCCTACTTCAGAAAGCGTCTTTGGGGCAGTTGGAGCATGATGCAGGCGTTGGTGCTTGACAAGGACAACTGGAAGAGGCACATCATGCTGGACAAGCAAACCGGTCTGGATCCTCCGGATATAAAGCTGCGAGCCGCACAAGGGTTTGATGCCACCGACTTCTTTATTACCGGCTACTGGATATGGAACAAGATTTTCGAGAACCTGGCCTCCATAGGCTACGACCCGACCAACTCCTTCACCGCAGCATACGATTGGAGATTGTCATATCCGAATCTCGAAGTCCGAGATCAATATTTCACTCGTCTCAAGTCATATGTCGAGACCGCGCACGAGCTCTCCGGCAAGAAAGTCGTGCTAGTATCCCACAGCATGGGTGGACAGGTTGTCTTTTATTTCTTCCACTGGGTCGCATCGGCCATGGGTGGCCGTGGAGGCAACGACTGGGTTGAGCGCCACGTTGAGGCATGGATCAATGTTAGTGGCTGTATGCTCGGGGCTGTGAAGGACTTGACCGCAGTTCTCTCTGGCGAAATGCGGGACACGGCCCAGCTCAACACTTTCGCCGTGTACGGCCTGGAGAAGTTCTTGAGCAAGGAGGAGAGGGCGGAGCTCTTCCGAGCCATGCCCGGAATTTCGTCCATGCTTCCGCTCGGTGGGAACGCCGTCTGGGGCAACGGAACCTGGGCGCCGGATGATCGGCCTGGTCAGAATTTTACGTACGGGAATCTGCTTAACTTCAGGCAGGGTATGAACTGGACCTTGCCAGAGAGGAACTTGACGGCCGAAGATGCGATCGAGTATCTCTTCAACACAACGGAGCCCTGGTATCAGGATCAAGTCAAGAGGAGCTATTCTCAAGGTGTCGCACATACGCAAGCCGAGGTTGACGCAAACGAGCAAGATGCTCGTAAGTGGATGAATCCCCTCGAGACTAGGCTACCCTTGGCACCCAATCTCAAAATCTACTGCTTTTACGGAGTCGGAAAGCCCACCGAGCGGAGCTACTTCTACCGGCAACCAGAATTCCAACCGTTCACGAACCTGAACATCACTATAGACACTGCCCTCACAGAAGGCGACGTTGACCACGGCGTCGTCATGGGAGAAGGCGACGGGACGGTTAATTTGCTTAGTACGGGTTACATGTGTAACTACGGCTGGCATGTCAAGCGTTATAACCCGGCGGGTAGCAAGATTACCGTCGTCGAAATGCCTCACGAGCCCGACAGGTTCAACCCGCGAGGCGGGCCCAAAACAGCCGACCACGTAGACATCCTGGGCCGCCAGAATCTGAACGAGCTCATTTTGCGGGTGGCGGCAGGCAAGGGAGACACTATCTCTGACCATGTGGTTAGCAACATACGAGAATATGCCGAGAAGGTCAAGATTTACGAGGAAGAAGACAGCCCCGGGGGTATGGGCAACATGCATCCGTAGAAGAACAGCTTCTACTCTTTGTCGCAGTACTGGGCCTTCCTGGAATGGCCTGCGTGTATCCGTATTACCTAGTCCCTGGCAGCTCAAGCTTCAGGAATGCTTCCCTTGAAGACCAGCTTGCCTAGGAGGACTTGCGGGGCCAACGACAATACCTGTCAGATGCCTACAGCCACCTTATCGAGGTGTGACAAACCACATTATGTCAGACAAGTAGAGTACCTGTCGAACAGACTATAGTCTTTTCGGTTATATAACGGGCCGTATTGCTAAGATTATAATCCGGGTAGATACCTGCAGAATTTTCACCACTAATATTACGGTAGCAGGAATTCTCTGACGGTCTAATACAGGGATAATATATAGATAAGCGCCTTAATTAATTTAACCGTTTTTATAACGATTTGACTACGCTTTATCAGATAATTAAGAGTCTTACTTACTAAGTGAATAACCTACTATTACCTTTGCTACTACCGATTAAGAAGCTATCTAGCCGCGCCAATATAGCGTATTTATTAACTATTAAGATAACGGAATACTAGCCTATTATCTATAAAACCTATCGCGATTAGGAGCTTTAGCGTAGCTATTACGAAGCTATGGCCGTTAATAATAAAGTGTAGGAGTATTTATGGCCTAATAACCCTATTCCCCCTCCTTAACGCCCTGTTTTACCTACCTATAACGATTTCTAAGCGTTAAACATAGTCACGTAAATAGGCGCTACGCCTACGTAGCTATTAGATCTAATAGCCGGCGGCTAGCACGCCTACGACTCTATAATATAGCGCTAGAAGATATAGAGGGATAAATACTATAAATACGCTAAAGATATTAACGCTGTGCTATTATAGTAGACTAAGATAATCGATAAAAGCCGTAAGCTACTCCTATATAACACTACCCCTTCAGGGGTGTATAACGCCGTTTAACGCGATACCGCTTACTATATAACTACGCGCCGCGTGGATATCTACGAAGAATATAACGGATATATCCGCACGGCTCCGAATAGCCTTAAGAAGCTATAGGAGTGGTTAGTATAATAGCAGAAACTATTAAAGAACCTTAAGGAGGTTAAATTAACCCCCGTAACGTATATTTAGGTAGTAGATTTCTTTAAAGGTATCCGTGGTATCGCTAGCTATAATTAGACTAAAGCCGAGGGATACCTTATAGATAAAGAAGTAGTTTAACCCGAAGATCTTTATACTATTAGATAACGATATATTGAGATTAAACTTAAAGACTAAGGAAAGCGTGGTAATTATTATGCTACGGTATTCCCTATGTTATAAATAAGAAGTGATAAGGGTAAAGATACCTTAAAGACCACGGCTAAGCCTAAAAGGAAAAGCGGTTATAGGAAGAATAAAGCTAAGAATTCTATTACCGCGCTATCTATAGCTATACCTTCTATTACTTTAACTAACCGCTCTTCTTCTAAAAGACGTTAATCTGCCCTATAAAAAGGGGGACCCTGTCGTGTTTATACTACCCCTAGTTAAAATATTAACGCTTATTACTACCTATTCCCGGAAATAGTAACAGAAGGTTAGGTAGCGTACGAAAGTAGTAAAATGACCGTCTAATAGATCCTTAAATACGACCTCGCGATACGCGCGGAGGTAGAAGAACTACGCGCTATAAAAAAGGTAAAGAAGGATATAAGCCGGGACTCTGTATAGCTTAAAGAGGCATAACTTAACTATAGCAGCGTCCGTAGCGTCCGTAGCGGCGTCTCCTACGCCGCTACCTTTACGGTGGATACTACTACTAATTACCCTTTTCGAGCCTCTACTACCCTCGATTCCGGTGCCACGATTTATACAATTAATGATTTTTCCAGTTTTTTCTAATTTTATACCCGCTACGTAGGGGGATTATATAGTAGCCGGTAGTTCGTCCCTGCCTATTAAAGGTTACGGTAATATAACCGTGGAATTAAACCGACTAATAGGAAGCCTCGATTTTAGGCTTTTAAATATTATATACTGCGAAGATTTTACCTATAATTTAATCTCTAACTAACGCCTATATCTTCGAGCATACTAGTAGGATTAGAAGCTACAAAATAACTGTCTTTAACGTGCTAATAGATCTATACTATGCTAGCTAAGTTACCGCTTCGATTAAACCGTTATTAAATACATGCCCTCTAACTAAGCTACCGCTGCTTTTCTAGGCTCTTCTTCTTCTTCTACTACCCGAAAAGCCGTCTATAAATTGACGATACGGTATCTAAGCACTACGGAGGGTATCTTATAGTATCTACGACTAAGGCATACTAGCCCTAAACTACTTCGGCACCTAGAAGACTAGATATAGGGGGTTAAAATGAAGGGACTAATAACTATCGACTACGAGGCCTACGAGCTTATAAATATAAAGCGGTATATTTGTAGGCACCCTTATAACGTACCTGCTTCCGTAGGGGAGTAGTAGGTGATTAATTTCACGGATATTAACCGAATATCCAATAAGGACTCGCGGTTTATATTTTCACCAACCGTTATAGCGGTTTTACGGCTACCTACGATATAAAGAGTAAGCTAGTAGTGGATATCCTCGTAATGATTAAGGAATTCATCGCCTAGGTAGACCGTTAATTAGACTATAAGGTCTGTGTTTTTAAGTCTAATAACGACCTAACTTAATCCTATGATATTACCTAATTCCTACGTAAAGAGGGTATTCTTTTAGAGGCCTCTACTACCGATACTTAAACGTAGAACGGGGGTGCTAAACGTGCTGCTGCCGTGGTTATTTTAAAGGGTTATAGGATAAATATCCACGCTAAGCTACCGTCGTTTATATAGCCTAAGGCTATTCTCATGGCCGTATACGTTTATAACCGCACTCTATAAATATAGTAAAAAGATTAGAAAACGCCCTATAAGGTCCTCTTTAGAAAGAAGCCAATTTTATTATACCTTGGAGCCTACGGCTATAAGGCGTACGCGATAATAAAGGACGTCTAAAAGGCTACTAATAAGCTATTAAATCGTATCGCTCCCCGCGCCTATATCGGATACCTTATCGGCTATGATTCTACTAATATCTTCTATATCTAAGTGCTAGGCCGTAGCTGTAACCGCGTTATTCGCACATGTGATATAGATTTCGACGAATATACCTTTTTTAACGGCGATATTAACGTCTTTTAGGATAACCTCCGTTATTTAACTGATGAATAACTAGAAGATCTAATTAGTTAGATTAAGTAGGAGAGGGCTAGAGATTTATAGCCGTTTATAGACGTATAAGCTAAGGGCCCCCCCCCCCCCAGCCCTTTATATAACTGCTTATATTGAATTTAACCCTTTACCAGAGTTAGTTCCCCCCGGATCCCTTTTCTTAATGGCGTTACTACCGTTAAGGTTATAGTCCGTAATACCCGGCCGTAAAGGGGTGGAGAAGGCTATCTTAAGTCTAGGAGAATAAGAGTTAGGTTATAAATAGTGTGATTTAGCTAGTGTAACGCTTAATTTCTGTTTATAGTAGCCTATAAATCTATAGCTTCCTACTCTACTAGAAGCCCCGCTATTAGTTATAGCACTAATAGTAGCCGTGATTTTAAGAAATTATTGTAAAGCACCTACGGCTATAGGCTTTCTTATAGATAAAGGAATATAATACTATAATATCTCTATAGCGATAGCTATAGGGCTCTTTATAGATGAAGGAGCGCGCCTTGACTAGTAAGGTAATAGCTAGAAAAGAGAATATTAGGTAGTAGCGTTTAATACTAGCCATTACGCCCCGGATAGATATACTTTAAATAGAACTCCGCTAACTAAATTACGGTTGAAAAGATTTACGCTTATAGCGCTATAGCGACGTTTAACGGTACCCTGCGAATCTATAGCCCTAGTAGTAACTACCGGAAGTATAACTCCGGAGGCTATCTTAGGAAATATAACCCTGGCGGTTACTCTAGCGGGTGCTCCGGCGGCTATCCCGGCGGCCGTAAAGATCTACTTTAAAGACCTCCCTCCTCCTCCGAAGAACCCTCACGATATACCTTTATACCTATACGACTACTTATTCCGATAGGTATAAGAAGACCACCTACGGAGCTACGAGGAGATAGGAACCTAGATATAGGTATCGGCGTCCGTAATAGATAGATATTAAGTTCTTAATTCGATATAGGTAATAATATATAAATTCGATAAGTATAGATTTTTATATAAATATAAGGTAAACCTTATAGTATAAGGAAATTAATAGTATTAATTCTCCCTTAAGGAGATATATATAGCCACGCTAGTTAGATAGTTATTCCGTATGTTAATAGCTATCGCTGCCTGATTTAACCTTACACTATTATAATTTAATATTATAAACGTGCTTAAATACGCGCCCCTCCCCTATAATATCTTTATATACCCGACGCCAGGATTTCTAGCCCCGGGGAGCCATTTATGAGTGAAAAAGGCGTTATATGGACTTAAGGACTCTCTACTACTTTAGTAAAAGCACTTTTTAGCTATCCTATTAGCGGATAGTTTTTAGATAGTGCCGTAGGAATTATATTATTTTCTGCACCGCGGTTTAATCCTGTTTTTCTATATTAACGATATCGTTATTACTTATAAGAAATACTATAAGGCGTAGATAAAGCAGGCTATTAATAACCTATAACGCCACTATAACCTATAAGGTGGCGATCCTCTATAGTGGTTCCTAGATATTAAGGTTATTCGCGACCGCGTCGCCTATAAAATCTAGCTATTATAATATAACTACGTTACTAAATTAGAACGCCTTTTAAAGCCGAATAATAGTAAGTATAGTAGTAACTATTACCTAATATACCTAATTAAAATTATGGAGCTGCTGCCCTATTTAGGGACCTCGACTAACGTTAAGAGCTATTAACGGAAGATAGGATCTATACTATACGTAGTAGTGATATCGCGGCTAGATATCGCGTTTATAGTATTAAGGCTATGCCGTTTTAACGTTAATCCAGGGCCTATATATTATAAGGCCGCCGATTATCTAATCCTTTATCTAATTAATAGCTAATCATTTATATTAGAATTAGAGGGTAGCGATACTATTAAAGTCTATACTAACGCCTCCTTTACCGATAATACCCTGGATTATAAGAGTAGTTAGGCGTTCTTGATACGCTTATTTAGCCGTATAATCGCGTGGCGCGCTAATAAGCAGGATACGGTCACGATATTAATAACGGAAGTATAGCTATTAGCGTTAGTATAAGGTGCTAAAGAGGGTATCTTTATATAATGCTTATTACTTAGTACAGGAGTGGAATTTAACGATCCGAAATTAAGGATCCTATACGATAATAACTAAACGATTCGGTTAGTTAATTAAAAGATTAGCGCGTTAATGACGCGCCTCCGCTACGTCGATATCTACGGTTACTAGTTACGTTAAGTAAAGGAATAAGGGTAAATACTTATAACGTACGTTACGAGCGCGGAAATAGTAGTAGACGGATTAACGAAGGCGTTATACGGCGAGAAATTTAAGATATTCAGGTCCTAGGTAGGAGTGATAGATATACGGGAACGGCTATAGCAAAAATAGCTGGAGGAAGTCCGGATGGAATATTTAGAGAACCTGGAGGATGAATTTAAGGGCGGCTATAGCGAAGAGATTATATAAGCTATAGGCCTGTTTATCTGCCGATTAGGAATAGCTTTAATAGCCTAACTAACGTTTAGGGCTATTAGGGGGTAATATTGAATAGACTATAGTCTTTTCGGTTATGTAACGGGCCGTATTACTAAGATTATAATCCGGGCGGATTCCTGCAGAATTTTCACCACTAATATTACGGTAGCAGGAATTCTCTAACGGTCTGATACAGGGATAATACACAGATAAGTGTCTTAATCAATTTAACCATTTTCGTGACCATTTCGACTACGCTTTATCTGATAGTACCTTATTCCGATATATCCATAGTCATAACCCCTCCTTTTACCTTATAGTTACATATCCCCGTGAAGTACCACGAACTTTACTTGGATAAATATATATATATAATTCCGCGTACCTTTATTTATCTTCGGACAGTTATAAGCCCGGCGCTCTGGTAAACGGACTCTATTCCGATTATTCTAATAGCTTTAAGGTATAAGGAACTAAGTGGCACTCTAGATTAGCACTATATAGGATCGGAGATACGTTCGGACTACTAAGTACTCGGCGAGACTAGATTACTATATTAGTATAGAGGGGGAAAAAGTCTTCCTTTTCGTCCTTAAGTTAAAGTCTTTATAAAATACGATTATTAAGTTATAATAGTATTATCCGTTATAGTATATCTTTTCCCTAGTATTATAGCCTATTTCTTAATAAATTCTTTAACTTCTATACCTATAAGTTTACCGGGCTAAAGATACAACCTAAACGGACTTTATAAAGCACTACCAATACTAAGCGGGCGAGAAGCGCTAAACTGTTAGCGAGCTACGCGCTATCCGACTAAGTAAAGGAACTATGCTCGATAACTACTAAGAACATATTCGTATTATTAGCGTATTAGGTATAATAGTAGTAAGAGTGTAACTAGTAGATATATAGATAGAATAAGGCTCTCGTATAACTATTTATTAAGCGTTCGGCGATAAAATAGAAATATAAGAAACTACTAGTTTATTACTATGAAATGCTAGGAGAGAACACGACTATTACTAAGATTAATAACTATATATTAGACGAGTAGAGTACCTCGTTCTGATATATCTATAGTTATTGCCCCTCCTTTTTCCTTATAGTTAGATATCCCCGTAAAGTACCACAAACTTCACTTAGATAAATACATATATAATTCCGTGTACCCCTGATTTATATTCTGACAATACCTAAGAAAAAATCACGGCTTAGTAATTATGTTACTTAATTACTCAGTATCAATAATTACATAATCACATACCTCCTAAGCCGGTTGCCCGTATATTAGTAAGCAGGTTAAAATGAAGCTGATACCTGCTTCATCTGTCGGATAAGGTACGCTTGACGTATCCCCTCCCCACCCAAGCCCTTCGCGGCAGCCGTTTGTCGAATCCACAGCAGGCCTGAGAGTACCAGCATTGCCATTACTGCTCTTGACATGCCGCTATTAGACGCCTCTTTCTTTCCGAGTGAATCGAGGTTCCTTTGCGACGCAGTAGCTGTGATGCAGTCATCGACAGCATTATTACCTCGGCGTTGTGTGCAACATGGCGGACTACGATGTTTATCAATCTCTCGAGACGGAGCAGCAGTTCTTCGAAGGTACGTCTCTAAAGTCCCCGATGACTTGGTCTCGTCTTGGAGACATATATCTGATGTCGCGGGGCGCAGAGCTTGACGATGTGGTTGCCACCCAATATCAATCCCATGACCTGATCGACGAGACACTGCGTTCCTGGCTATACATTGCGTCCATGTTCAGGGACAAGTTCTGCCATGCCGAAGACGACATTGCTATCTGTGCTCAGAAGCTTCTCTCTAGTAAGCTCTTCGCCGAAAACAAGGATTATGTGCGGACGCAAATGATACACAGTGTCTTACAGGAGGACGAACCAAGTGCTTTGCATGTCATCTCGTGTTTCTTGCTCCTGGACGGACGGAAAGATGAGTCGACATTCGCACGCATGGTTGAGGAAGGATGCTTCCCGCGGCTTTTGGATTTGCTCCACGGCCGCAAGGAGAGGGACGGGAGGCTACATCGCTTGCTACTCGAGTTGATGTATGAGATGTCGCGCATCGAGCGCTTGCGGATGGAAGACCTGATACTAGTCGATGACGGCTTTGTCAACTACCTCTTCCGGATCATCGAGGAACTGTCTAACGACGCCCACGACCCCTATCACTACCCTATCATTCGCGTTCTCGTACGTCCCATGTCATGTCACCTCTGTGTGTCACTGCTCACTCCGAATTCTAACTTGGTCGTCAGCTTGTGTTGAATGAACAGTACATGTTGGCCTCGACCAACCCGGCTGCTGACCCTCTGTCTCCCACGGCACCCCTTACCAACCGAGTCATCAAGTGCCTAAGCCTTCACGGCTCGACCTACCGCACATTCGGCGAGAACATCATCTTGCTTTTGAACCGGGAGACCGAAACGTCGCAGCAGCTCCTGATCCTGAAGCTCCTATACTTACTCTTCACCACCAAAGCGACGTATGAGTACTTCTATACCAACGATCTAAAAGTCCTTTTAGATGTAATCATTCGGAATCTTATGGACCTGCCCGACGAGAAAGCCTCTCTGCGCCACACGTATCTTCGAGTTCTCCACCCTCTCTTAGCTCACACTCAACTTAGCTACCCACCACACTACAAGCGGGAGGAGACATTGAAAGTACTCCATATTCTCGGCGGTATGGGCAACTCGCACTTTGCACCCGCCGATGATACCACGCTGCGTCTTGTGGAACGGGTATCGAAGGTCAAATGGTTGATTGAGCGCGACGAATCATCGGGGGAGGCCGAAGTGCCGCGCAAATTTCTTGGCATCAGCCTTCCCCAGTCTCAGGCCGCGAGCAGCGTTAGTGTCGTGGATATCGCAGCCATTAAGGAGAAGCCTGGCGTACAAACGCCGAGCCGCAAGGCCACAGGGTTGGCGGCTGAAGGAGGACAAAACGACGCCGGTGGAGTGACCAGGCCCAGAAAAATCCTGCCTGAAGTACCCAGGCATCGTCACGGTGTCCCTTTTACAGAAGGGCCGACATTACACGTTAAAGCAAAGAAAACGCCGCCAAAGGCCCCGCCTCCGAGGAGGCAAGCCAAGTCGAAGAGAATCGTAGAGAGCCCTCCAGATGATTGCTCCACATCTGGACCGTGATACAGAGGGAGTTTCATGGAAGCGGATGGTGACTGTAACATCCCCCCTTAGCCGACACAGAGGGGCGAAAAGAGGTGCCCAGCAAACCGAAGTCTTACATGGCAACTACCACTAGTCAAAGCGTTTGGCGGTAGCTGGGAAACAAGGACAGGATATTAGGGAGAGATTTTTAACGCATAGCATGGGCGTCTTGGGTTGAATTCAAGTTCTCCAATCCAGTGTTCTTCGGTGACCTAAATGGCTTGCATGCTTGTGTATTGGTGCAACCTTCCAAAGCATAAATTGGTTGTCATACCGTCTCTTGTCAACAACGCCTGCGTTGCTGCGTTGCTGCTAGCCTGAGGAGCTCCACTAGAAACCATAGGCTGTTGAGCAGGATAAGAGGTAATAGCTAATGTCTAGATGTCGCGAACCCAGATAACTATGCGACGAACGGAAACTGAGAAGAGGGTACTAGCATTCTTTTTTTGAAACCCTGTCATGGAAGGTAGGGAATCAGAGAGCGGGAAGTCAGATAATTAAGTCGGACCACCCCTTTCCGGCCCACCCCCGAATATGGCCACCCAAACCACACCAAAAAACGGGATTTCGTACCCCTGTTATTTCACTAACCGTAAAAGGAAACTCTATAAAATTAAGATATTACGTAGATAGTTATACGGTTATTAGATGTATAACTTTACTTTTTCTATAAACTAAAGGTATAAGCTAGAATTAGGCCTAGAAGTCACCTATTAGTGCTGTCTTATAATCTTTTAGTAAACCTTAATAAAATAGAAAATTCTATACATAATTAATATAAGTGGGAAACTATAGCTATTATATCTTAGGAATACCTATAAATTACGGACTCTCTAAAAGTAAAGTCGGAAGTATAAAATATACTACCCTTAATCGTATATATTAGAACTAAGTTTCTCCTATACTAAAGTTTATTAGGAGAATAGTCTTTTCTTAAATAACGTAAGAACTAATATAGAATATATATATATAACTTAAGATATATATTATATCGGATTTTATACGAATTTTAAGATATAGTACTTAGCGTATTTTAGTCGTATTAATTTGTTATAGAATTCTTTATTCTACTAAGGTTTACTAAGGAATTACTAGATATCACTAATATAGACTTCTAGCTCTAATTCCTGTATATAGCTTAGGTATATAGAAAATTTAAAATCATATATCTAATAACCGTATAACTATCTATATTATAGCTTAATTTTATAGAGTTTCCTTTTACGGTTAGTGAAATAATAGGGGTACGATATCCTGTTTTTTAGTGTGGTTTGGGTGGCTATATTTATCATATAGGCAGGACCACGATATAGTCTATAGGGGATCCAGGGGGGATCCACTCTATAACTAAGGGCTCCGGATATCGGGGACTTCGGGTATTAGGATATAATAAGGGTGGATACCGGAAAAGACCGGATAGAATCTAAATAATATAGTACCTATAATAGAGTCTTCACCACCTAAATTAAGGGTATAAGAGACTCTCCTAGATATAACTAGATATAATATATATACACGAGATTTCTACTCTACTAAGTTAATTATTTAAGTGCTTATTTAACGTGCGATAGTTATAAGCCCGGTTTATAACACCTAAACGATAGGTATTAATAAGGCTACCCCTATTCCACTATAGAGAAGTAATCACGTTTATATAAGCACTCTTAAATAACTACTATCGACCTAATTAAAGTAATGAAGAGATTAATTAACCTACCTATTAATTAACTAACCGATAAATAATAATCTAGTAAAGATATCTTCTAATATAATTAACGCCGAATAAAAGACGGCCGCTATAACCCTTATTAACTAAAGGGATTAGGTAGTTTAGGAGCGCGCTATACACGGTAAATCGGCCTCCTACTAGGATAACTACCTTAATCTAAAGCTAAGCGATAAGGAGGCTAACGCCTATCTCCTCTCTATACCTATACCCCTTAATATAAAGACCCACCTTAACTAAGGGGTTGTATCGTATAGGCAGGACCACGATATAGTCTATAGGGGATCTAGGGGGGTTCCACTCTATAACTAAAGGCTCCGGATATCGGGGACTTCGGGTATTAGGATATAATAAGGGTGGATACCGGAAAAGACCGGATAGGATCCAAATAATATAGTACCTATAACAGAGTCTTCACCACCTAAATTAAGGGCATAAGAGACTCTCCCAGATATAACTAGATATAATACACACACACGAGATTTCTACTCTACTAGTTTAATCATTTAAGTGCCTATTTAACGTGCGATAATATTCGGGGGTAGGCCGGAAAGGGGTGGTCTGACGTACACAAGATACCACCATAACATGGCTTATATATATCGCACGTCAAAAGGCACTTGGATAATTAACTTAGTAGAGTAGAAATCTCGTGTGTGTGTATTATGTTAAGTTATATCTGTGTAAGTCTCTTATACCCTTAATTTAGGTGGTGAAGACTCTGTTATAGGTACTATATTATTTGGATCCTATCCGGTCTTTTCCGGTATCCGCCCCTATTATATCCTAATACCCGAGGTCCCCGATATCCGAAGCCTTTAGTTATAGCGTAGATCCCCCTGGATCCCCTATAGACCACGTTATAGTCCGTGTGCCTATACGATATACCCCCTTAGTTAAGGTAGGTCTTCCTAGGTTATCTAACTAATTAGAGGCTTCGGTTTAAACCAAACGCTCTTAACTTTTCTATCGAAAAATTAACCGCTAGGGGAAAACGCTCTCGTAAAAGGGATCTAAATCCGCCCTATTTAGTCGTTTAATTTAATTCTATCTTAATTAGTTTCTTAATCTTGATTAGCCGGATCTACTTAATCGGATCTATATCTATCGGATCTACTACGCCCTCGGGGGCCTTTATAGTCGCTTTAGCCGTGGCTTTAGCGCGTTCAATCTCTTCGTATAATCGCTTAGACTACTCGATACGATCCTTTTAATCCGTTAAATTAAGCTATTACTATAGTCTTTTAATTCCTGCCTCCGGTAATGCCTTTATTAAACCGTCCGCGATTATCTTCTTCGTGTTAACGTATATAACCTTAAAAAGGCCTTACTATACTAACTAATATACTTACTAATTATAAATATCGACGTGCTATAGCCTTATTCGTAGGCGTTATACCTTCTTATTAACGAGGTTAATAGTCTACTAATTATCGTTGTATAGCTATAATTACTATTAGTCTAACCGGAGCTCTAAATCCCTTAATATCCGGCTAACGAATAACGTCTCTTTAGCGGCTTTTATAAAAGTAAGTAGTTCCGATTCTATTAACGATATCGTGACTATCGGTTATTTACCCGCCTTCTAGTTAACGGTACCGCCGAAGAGCTTTATCGTATATCCTTACGAACTCTTACGGTCTAGATTATCCCTAAAGGACGCGTCGCTTATAGTTAGGAAGAGTCTATCCCCGCTAAATTCTAGGCAGTAATACCGTATATAGTATAGGAATAGCAGCACTTATAAAGCCCTTTTAAGGTGGTTAGAGGAGGGGTTAATATTATATTAGGAAAGCTTCGAATAGGCGAACGCGATATCGGGTCTTATTATAATAGCGGCGTATAGGATAGAACCGATTATACCCTAATACTAATAGACCTCGGGAATCGTCCCGCGCATACCGTCACGTAGTATTAATAGTTCTATCGTTAATAATAGGACCTTTAGTAGTCTTCGGTAAAGGATATCTACGTAGTATTTAACCGCGATCTTCTCTATATAGGAAGATTATAATAGTTATAACCTACGGGTAGCTCTATCCCTTAAGACCTTAATTCCTAGGAACTAATAGATTTCTTCGCCTCCTAATAGCCTATAGCTTCGCTTAAGGGCGGCCTTAAGGTTATCGGCGTTAGTCTTACGGTCTTTATAGTAGATAAGTCCGATATCGCTGATATAGAAGAATAGGATTAAACTATCGCGGATTATAATATAGGGGTTATTAGGCATAGCCGTGAATCCTAGTAGCAGGACCTTACCTACTACTTCGTAGCCTTATAGTATCTTTATAAACAACTTTTCTTTAAGGCTAGCGTTAACGAACACGTTAATAGCATTGAACTGCCTTATTTCTAGATTAAATCGAGCGGCGATAGCTATTAATATACGGAAGGACCGTAAGGCTAACGTAGCGGCGTAGTTATCTTTAGTCTCTAACCGTTTTTATTAATCCCCTTATACTATAAGGCGTGCCTTATGCTTAAGGAGCGTGCCCTCCTTATTAAATTTATAGGTGTATACCTATCTATAGGCGAGGACTTATCGTTTATTAGCCTGATTACTATAGACCTCCTGCTAGCAGCCTATTTATCGGTGCCCCTTAAGGTATTCCCCCTTAGCCTATAACCACCGCTCCCGTAATAGGTGGAGGCGTATATCGCGGTCGTGGTTTAGCGGAGGCGGGGGATCCTCGTGGGTTAGGCGTAATAGGGAGGCGTTAGAGGGAGAGGGATCTATAATACTAGCGCCGATAACGTTACCGTCGTTAATAGCTTACTTCCTCCTACGTATAGGGTTATAAGTCCTTCTAGTATTAAAGAACGCCTTCTAGGCGTTATTATTCTAGACCTTCTCGGTCTTATAGATACTTACGATAGATAGGCGCGCCGCTAATAGGCGTGTAATTAACGGGCACCCCTAAGGGTATCTATAGCTACCTACTAGTTATCGTCGTCTCCTTCTACCTTAACGCCCCTGACTACCGCTAATGCTATAAGGAACGCGCGCGTAGGGTTTTCCGGGGATATTAAAGGCGTGGGAAACGGTTTAAACCTTATAGCGGTAAACCGCGGAGTATCCATAATAGTATCGGTATCTGTAGTAATAGCGGTAGCCTCTCCCGTAATAATAGCGGTAGCGTTTTCCTAGCCCGTAGTAATAGCGGTGGTATAGTCTTCTCTTATAGTAATAGTAATATCCGTAATAATAGCGATGCCCGTAGGAATAGCGGTAGTGTTAGAGTTATAAGATTCTAAATCCATATCCTAGGTATTAGGCTATAGATTTAGAACCTCGTAACGAGTAGTAATATAGTCTATAGTAATAGTAGTGGCCTCTCTTATAGTAATAGCGGTAGTGTTAGAGTTACGAGGTTCTAAATCTATAGCCTAGGTATTAGGCTATAGATTTAGAACCTCGTCTATAATAATAGTAGTGGCCTCTTTTATAGTAATAGCGACGGCCTCGCCTTTATCCGTAGTAATAGCGGTAGCCTCGCCTTTACCCGTAGTAATAACGGTGGCGTTAGAGTCTTCTAACTCGAGATCTAATACGTCTACGGCTATACCCCTTAATAGTAGCCTATTCGCGGTCTTATTAGATTAGGTAATACAGATAGATTATAGGCGTTCCCCGATTTCCTTAGCGGAAGCTATAGCTTATAGCGTTTTCATCCTGCCGTCGAATATCTTATTTTCGTTAAAGACTATATCTCTTATAGTAATAATATCCGTTAGGTATAGCAGCTAAATACGGAAGCTATTCAAGGATTAATATCCGATATAATAACCGATCTATACCTTCGGTTTTAGCCTTTATAGGCGGTTCCTTTTAGCTTAGGTATCCCGCGTTTTTATAAAGGCTTTATAGCTATAAGCTTATAGGTGCGTAAGGTTAGGTTAACGGCCGCACAGGCCTTCGTACAGCGTTCGCTAGTTATTAATATATCGTAGCGTTCTATTATATAGATATATAGTAGTCTTAAAGATCTTAGGCTAGATAGACATGGGCAGATTAGCCCTAATCCTTATACCCCTTGCCCTCCGTTTAACGATGCCTTTAATCCGTTCTATAACGCCGTTTTAATCGTATAAATATAGTGCTAACGGCTAGCCTTCCACTCCCTTAGCAGCGAGGAAAGTAACGACTTCTAGGTACTACAATATCTTTGAATTAGCCCGTAAAACGCGTGGCCTAATATCGCATTAAGTCTTAAGCAGGGTAAAAACGTCTTTTAACGCGTGCAGGATAGAGCCTTAGTCTCTTTTCTATAGGTAGTAATCCCACGTATAACCTATATACACGTCTATAATAAATATAATAGACTTATATAGACCGCCTAACAATTCCGACTCTTTTAGATCGTAAAGATTAATAGCTAAGGCCTCTCCGGGCTTTAACGGGTAAAGGGATAGTATCCGCCGGATCTACGTAGGCACTCACGATTACCTATACGCGTTATAGTCCGTTATACGAGGTCCCTTTATCTTTACCCCCTAAGTAGCGTTAATAATCTTTATAAGAGTATCGGTGCCGTAGTAGCCGAGGCGTTTATGACAGTTGTACTTTCGGTATCATCGTAGTAGTCGGCCTCCCGCATGCCACACCTTGCGCACCCCAGTCTTCTACCAAAGGCCGGAGCAAAATTAGGATATTCCGCTTACGTCTATGAAATCGCGTCCTGTCCAGGCCTAGCGACAGCACGTAAGCCAACATCTCGAGGCAGCCGGCGAGCTGCGTCCACATCGCTGCAGCCCGACACATCAGGCATAACACGACTTCTAAGTACTGGCCGACACCAAGACGCGTCGAAGAAGCCGCCCCCTGATCGGGTACCCCGAGTCTTAACGAGTAATGAGAAGCCCAAACGAGTGAAGCCGGGCACCGTACAATCCAGCCACTCCGCATACGGTGTAGCCCCATGGGGGAAGCAATATGTTCCTATGACGCCCTTGTCAGATATTTGATCGAAAATTTCAAAATAGGTCCCCGGTGAAAACCTACAGGTCACCGCCGAAGGCGTCGCCATAGATGGGCGACGATGATCCCAGGCTTGTCGAAATGGAGATGCCGGATATTCTATCACTGACCCTGACGGTGAAACCAGCAATATATTCGCCCCGCCGAACATCTGAAATGGTAAGTGAGAATTAGCTTACGTTGCTCCACATCCGCAGGCCGTTAACTTACCCAAGTCAAAGGCATCGCCAGTCACTTTGCCTCCCTTCCCACCGAGGATTTGTGTAGACGCATCATCATAGACAAATTCCAGCCCGTAGACGATGGATGGGTCATGATAGACGATAACGCGACTAAGCACTCGGCTCTGCTTGACGGCGCTCTTGAAGACAACTTCCTGGGCCTCGCTGCGATCCTCAATGTCTTGGCAACCAATTTGCTTGCTCCGAAATCCTGACTTGCCGAGTGGAGCAGCCGATATTTTGAAGGACGATGATTTGGAGCAGAGCTTCCGGAAGTCGTCGATATAAAGTATTGCCCCGCCACCAGAAACGACTCTCAGTCGCAAGAGGCCTTTCCGCTTCTTCTCTTGTAACCGCTCCCGAACCTCCGACTCGTTTATAGAAACCTGTTTCGGTAACCCTCTCTCCACTCCGTACCTTATCCATGCTCGGCAAAAGTTGTCGTCTTCTCCCATGATCTCCACGTGAGAAACTCCAGTCTTTGCTGCTAGCACCACACTGCCACCTTCGACGGGAAAAGCCTGTATACTAGCATCCATATAGCATACCGCATCGTTCGGTAACCTGAAGCAGGGATGCCAGCGGAAACGAAGACAGTCGAGTGCATGCCAGGTACATTCGTCCTTCGCGAGTATAAGCCCCCCCTTAGATTTCGTCCGGGTAGAAAAAGGCTCGCGAGCGACAAATGTGCGGTTGATCATTGCGAAATCGTCGCCCATGACACCCGACTCTTGGCGGGGACAACCAAGCATATGGCCGATGCTCCGCAAATGACCACCCATTCCAGCATTGGCCACTTCCCAAGAACTTCCCATATTGTTGCCGTGTTTAGAAACAAAATCTGCCTCGATTCGGCTGCAGTCATTGAAGGCGGGACGTATCTCGTCGAGGGAGCTAGGGTAGCTTTGCAGGTACTGGGACCCAAAGATGGCAAGATTTAGATCGTCAGACGAACCCCCTGCATCAGCTGGTTCGGTGACTGTCTTGACCTCCTTGTCCCAGTGCACATCGAGCAACAAGACGGAGACATATTTTTTCTGACCAGTCAGTGGTCGGAAATAGTCCCTGACAGCATCGGCCACGACATTGAAGAAGGCGCTTTTGTCTGGGTCGTCCGTTAAATTCTCAAGCTGCGCAAGATCGCGAAGTTGGGCAACCGTCTTCTCGGTTCTAATAATATGCACCCTCGCTTCTGATCGCATCTTACCGTCTACCCGATCACGAGAGTGCGAGGACCCTGTTACCCATTCCTCTTCAAAAGCAAAACTTCGGCGGCCCATCCTGTGGCGCGTCATTTGCTCACAGGTAAAAGCCTGCCAGAGATACGCCGCCATGCGATACTTGTGGATGGCTGTGTCAAGGCCATTCCCCTCTGTCTGAGCCCTAGCAGGCGTGGAATCAAAATTCTGGGGTGAATCTTTGGCTAAGAGAATTGCCAGCTGAAGAGGCGGGGTATTCTGCGGAGGAACCATAAAGATGTCCAAGTATGAAGAATGAATGGGGTTACTGGAAGAGCTGTTGGAGACCTTGGGGCTCGTGAAGTCGAAACGAAACCTGTTCAGGCCCGGTTGCAAATAGACCAGGGCCTTCCAATGTGATTCGCACACGGCCCAAGATGTTGGGGGAAACTGGTGGTCGAGACGGTTCACAAGAACTTCCCCATCTACTGAATGTTGCGACGGGTCACCAATGGTACCACGAATGACGAGATTCTTCTGATAGGCCTGCATCCAGTTAGCACAAGATCTCGCCCAAGAATATGACAACATGGTGTTGAGCTGCAGGCACGCGGCCGTGTCGTGGCTCATGAGCGGCCTATAATGCAAGCAATTACTTACATAGGTCCCGTCCGCGCAATTAGTGACACGGGGTGCATAAGGTGACACGACCAAGTTGGCCTTGGCATTGGCGGTGGGAGAACTCCAGCCAGCGACGCTCGCTACGCTATTGCGATTCGTATTGACGTTGACAATGGGCTGAGGCGGGGGCCTGGGTATCGGTGTTGTATTCGCAGACTGACCACTGGTATCCTTCAGGTGTAGATCTAGGGCAACCTCGGAGCCATGATTAGACGGGGGTGTCACGGAACCGGCGGTCGGTACGGTTCCTTGGCTTGCATTACTAGAGCAGTCGGTACTGTACTGTTCGCCGGCTCGATCGGTAGACTGCTCAGTCCTGATGCTGGCCCTTGAACGCCGACGTAACTCTCTGAGGAAGGCTGGAGCCATGATGTGCCGCGGTGACGATTCGCCAAAGTCGGTATCCCAGAGCTAATCTACAAAGAAGCAATGGACGCCCTCGCAGCCAATAAACGTACGGACGGCCGACTGATGCAAAGTCCGAAGTCCACAAGTGCGAGGAAGACAACGAGGCAATCTATGGTAGAAAGGTGGAGTTAGGAGGCTGAAGGTGGTCAACCTCAGAAGGCGGTAACGAGCCGCAAGGGCTCCGGCGCTATGGCTGAAGGGATCGCGCCGCCGTTGTAACGAACACCGTTAGGTTCGTGGAAAAGCGTTAGGAAGCAGTTGAATTCAACCTCCCGCCGCACCTCGAACAGCCGCGGCTGGTGGAGGGTGTGGTTGACAGAGTGGCTTATTGTGGCGCCCAACTAAAACAAAATTACACTCCAGTAAGCAATCCCTGAAATGAGATGGCAGCTCGGTGGCGCGTTGCCTTCAAATCGGCGTGTAGGATGCTTGGAACGAAGGTAAGCACATTTGTGAAAGGAAGAAAGAGTAAAGCAAAGGCTGAGGAATAGGAATTGAACAAACAAAAAGAACTGGGAGTCGTTTGAGAAGCAGCTTGAAAGCGAGGCTACTGCAAACGATCGCACAGATATGATCGGAGGGAGGGTGCGGTACGAAGGTCAGGCCATGATAAGCATGTTACAATAAGGTAAAGTACAGCAATATGTGAATACGTAGGCAAGTATCCAAGAGTTCCAGGCCCTTGGAGAGTAATACAGGAAGGAACTTGCATGCAAAGCTGATGTCGATGACGTCGACTATAGTTCCAAGATGGATCCATTGCCTACCTTAGGAGTACCGGTCTTCCGCCACCCCCTGTTCGGTCTTCCGGGTCGTCTCAAACCCTTTCTGGATTAGATGATCCACTACATCTCCACCACCCGAAATTCTGTGGTTTTTCTTGTTCTCTCGCTTTTCCCAGGCACCATTACGAGTCACCTTTCGAGTTCAGCCACACAACTTCCTGTGCCCGTTATTACCGGCCTTGGTCCGTCTCTGGAGTTTTTTCTTCTTTCTTTATTTGGTGTTGCTTGTTCGTGTTGGTTTTGGTTAGTTTTTGGGTTGTTTGTTTGGCTGGCTTTTTGCTGTTTCTTTTGCTTTTTTTTTTGTTCTTTTTGTTTCCTTTGAGACCCCTCTAATTTCGGGTGGTGGAGATGTAGTGGATCATCTAATCCAGAAAGGGTTTGAGACGACCCGGAAGACCGAACAGGGGGTGGCGGAAGACCGGTACTCCTACCTTAGGTATCCTACGGAGTACTGTGTTACTTGGTATACCTATCTGAACTAGCCTTGGGCGTGGGGCCTGGAAATTACAACCGCATACCCGATACCTAATTCAGGTACTGTCAACCTGGAATTAGGGATGTGCCGTGATAATTGGAGAGTCGTGATCATCCAGAACGGATCAGGAGAGGAGAACGGCTTGTCTAGCTTCGCCCTATTCCCTCTTACTTTCGTACTATAAGAACCCTACGAATGTTCTAACCGTCGTTGATAGGCGCTCTCGCTTCCCTGGAATCGCTTCAGGATTCATAATAGTTATGTCTCCCTCTAGGAAATAGTGCGTAAGTTCCGTTTAAATGTTTTAAGGTCAGCGCAGCTCTGGCGAGCTTCTCAAGTCCAAAGGATTTGCATTATCACAGAGTGCCTCCTTAATCTATCCGAAGTATCCGTAGTAATTAGAACGATTCTAAAGACGCAATCAGTGGACAGTTGGATTTACTCCCTTGAACGGTTGGAGAGAACGCCTGTCCTCATGCTACTAACGAATACGGATACACTAAGGTACTCTGCGATTAAACGGCTGACCTAATATTAACGGCAACCCACCTAAGGTACTGTAGGTAATTTACCTGCACCTGCAAGTGCGAAGCCGGAATTAATTACACAGGAATTCCTTCATCCCTTCAACATCAACCTGGCCTGGATCAATCCATCTTTGTACCCAAACTCGAGACTTACTTGGACGGCACATTCGCAGCGCTCGTTGTTATCTTTACCCTGAAGTCTGTGCCCACTCAACCCGGAGCTCGAATGAGCAGCAGGCTATAGGTGCTCCTGTCGCCCTCGACTGGTCATTCCTGCTGAACAACACCCGGGCCCCCTCTCTAGGCTTACCACAGTAACCGCCGAACTCGTTCGACACATCTTTGTCTTCAAAACAAAGCCTTTAACTCACGTATCGATCGAGGATTATTTCTCAAGTCCTCAAAGTGTTCCGATACTGGAGACAGGTTTATATTTTCCAACCAAATACGTCATGTCGTCGCCCTGGCAACATCGGCCAGAAGTCGTGGTGGATAGAGTGCTGAAAAGGGCAGAAGTAAGCAAGGTCAGTCAAGGCAACCCCCTTCTTATCAGCACCACCCTGCGCTCCCCCCTTTCCCGAAAAAGAAAAAGAAAAGAACGTAGGACTTTGAACAAGTGATTGACTCTCGTTCTTCTATGGAAGATTGCACGAAAACTCCAAAACCGGCTCGCCCTTGCTCAGTTCAAGACGAAACATGGCTGGGAAGATCTCGCCTTTGATACCATCGAGCCCAAACTGGAAGAGGAGATGCGGCGGAAGAAGTTGTCTGAAGGGGATGTACTGTCAGATTCCTCCTCCAACACATCCGACCTCCCATATCCAACAAAGGTATTGATGAGCTCGCCTTTGAAAGCTCCGCTGTTTTCCGATGCCATTGGATCGAGCGGCGGCACTCCTGGCCAGCGTAAAAGGACGTACCTAGCCTCCTTCGACCAGCAGGCCTTTTCCAGCCCCAGCAAACGCTTACGTTCGTCTCCAACCGCATACAAGTCTCTTGAGACTCTTTCTTCGCTCAGGGGAAACCATCATCATTTTACTCAGTCGTCGCCCATCAAGCCTAGGCGGCAACAGCACTTCACAACCTCGACGGGCCCAGACGTCTCTTTGTATCAATCCACCCGATTCTTCCCACACGACCTCGCATCTTCTACCCTAGGCCCCTCTGATGACGAGGACGACCTCCCCATTCATTCTTTTCGGTCGGCCAACGTTCGATCCTCTCCGCCTACGACTCCTCCTATGCGCAATCGCGGTCTGCCCGGGCCTCACGGCAAAGACAGGATATCCTCCAACGCCAATGGCGCTAAAACTGGAGAGGAGGGAGCCGACCTGTTGCTCTACCTTGCGACTTCACCATCGCCCGCAATGCCGTCTACAAGGACCAGAATGGAGCCACCTTCTACGCCGCCATCCAAGGTCGGTCGCGACATGGCACTTCCCTCTTCGCATATGACGACACCTGGCGGTAGCAATCCTTTCCCCAACACTCCTGGACAGGGCTTCGACTTCTCCGATTTTGTCAACATAACCCCCAGCCCGGCCCAAAAATCCTGGAAGACGCCATTGATGCTTTCGACAAGTAGAACTCCCCGCGGTCTAGCCAGGAGGCGACTCTCATTCGAGAGCCCTTTACCCTGACTTCAGACGCAAGTTCCGGACTCCAGCTCATCGGCAGCGGTGATAATTCTACCATGGCTCGTGGCAGGCAGTGTTATACTGCACGTGGCAGGCGAGCTACTTCACGGCGAGTCTAGACGATTAGAAACTTACGGTTCAAGCTAGGAAAGGAGGTGTTTGAGCACGGCGATATTTTATTCGTTATGTCGTGGAGAATGCTGCACGGTCATTTGCCAGTGGATAATGGATGTTACGCAGACGTTTCCAAATCCTGACGATGTAACGGGTTGGGGGCGATTGAGCAATCTGAGGGGCAATGGCTGCACAGTCTTTGATTTTGACTGAACTGCTGAGAAGCTACATAATATAGTTCATCGGTGTAGGAATGTAGCATGAATCTATGACTACCTGTAGTATTTGTACTAAAGGCGGGTGTGCAGAGTACGGATACCCGATATACATTTCTACACTACGTGTACTAACGCATCACGGCTTGGGTGGTTTTTCTGACACCCCCAAAACCGGAACTTGGCAAGGTCATTTACGCGCTATCACGCGTTGGTCTTGGAAGACGCGACAGTCTCGCGTCTCGGTCGCGCTGCACGAAATAATTCTTGGTCCCATATCCAATCAACGCTCTCATTATGTCATCGACTTTTATCACGCAAATTTTGTTCGTGTTTTTAGTAGGGAAACACTGCCAAGCCCGGACGTTTTGATATTCAGCCCGGAAAAGTGGGGCCATGCTTAACACAGGTTCTCTAACCTGCAAAGAGCCTAATTCATAGTACTAAAACGGGGTCTTAGCAGGCCAAGGTATATACCGTTATATTCGTTAATTAAACTATAAGATTACCACTATAACTAATATTAGTATCCTAGTCGAGAGTATCTAAATATTATAATGGAGACTGATTTTAAGGGTGATATTAATGCATGATTAAGGCAGATTAAGGTAGATTAAGGAAGAGGCATTATAGATAGCTATAAACGAGTTAGATAAAATAGATATACTGGCTATTTAGGTTATTACTATATTAGTAGGCTTTAGCTAAGGTAATTAACGAAGATTAACTGTATTATATAAGGTAGTTTAATTAACGAATATAATAGTATATACCTTAGTCCGCCAAGACCCCGTTTTAGTACTATGAATTAGGCTATTTATAGGTACGAGAACCTATATTAGCATAGCCCCACTTTTCCGGGCTAAATATTAAAACGTCCGGGCTTAGCAGTATATCCCTTTTAGTAAGGTAGCTTATAATATAGACGGAGTAGGTTATATATATCGTATATTAAAATAGCACTTATAATAGTAAACTTAATAGAGTAGAAATCTCGTATATGTATATTATATTAAGTTATATCTATATAAGTCTCTTATATCCTTAATTCAGGTAGTAAAGACTCCGTCATAGGTACTATGTTATTTGGATTCTATCTAGTCTTTCCCGGTATCTACCCTTATTATATCCTAATACCCGAGGTCCCTAAGGCCCGAAGCCCTTAGTTAGGCATAGGCTATGCCTGTAAAATATACCGCCTTAGTTAAGGTGGGTCTTCTCCGGTTTACTAACTAATTAGAGGCTTTGGTTTAAACTAAAAGCTTTTAAGTTGTCTATTATAAAAATAACCGATAAGAGAAAACGCCCTCGTAAAATAATATACCCTAACTAGGCATATATCTGGCCAGCCAGTACTATGGGACCTAGGGATTCCAGGGTTAAGAAAGGGGTAACCTTGAGTATAGTAAATAAGGTATAATAAAGATAGCGACACTTATTCCGGCTAGGGCACTTATTTATTCCGACTAGGGTACTATTATTAGAAGCCGGCGCTAGCCGCCCACGGTCGCGATCCTTCCGTTTAATCCGTTTAATCCGTTTAAGTAGCTCATATCGTTCGGATCGTCTTTTTGCCCTTATTAGTTATAATCGTTAATTAAGCTTATTCCTATAATACAATTACGTACGCTGTTCTAGCTCTTCCTATAACCTACGGATAGCTTTATCTATTCCTAACTAGGATCTAGGTAGGATTGGGTTGACTCCCACTGAATTTAGGTTCGATTGGCCCCGACCTGTCGTATAGGCACACGGACCACGACGTAGTCTATAGGGGATCTAGGTGGGATCCACGCTATAACTAAGGGCTTCGGATATCGGGGACCTCGGGTATTAGAATATAATAGGGGCGGATACCAGAAACGACCGGATAGGATCTAAATAATATAGTATCTATAACAGAGTCTTTACTACCTAAATTAAGGGTATAAGAGACTCTCCTAGATATAAGTTAATATAATACACACACACGAGATTTCTACTCTACTAAGTTAATTATCTAAGTGCCTATTTAACGTGCGATAGTTATAAGCCCGGTTTATAACGCCTAAACGATAGATATTAATAAGGCTACCCCTATTCTACTATAAAAAGTAACTACGTCTATATAAGTACTCTAAATTAACTATTATCGACCTAATTAAGGTAATTAAGAGATTAATTAACCTACCTATTAACTAACCGATAAATAATAAACTAGTAAAGATATCTTTTAACGTATCTAACGCCGAATAGAAGGCGGCCGTTACTACCCTCGTTAACTAAAGGGATTAGGTAGTATAGGAGCGCTCTATACGCGGTAAATCTGTCTCTTACTAGGATAACTACCTTAATCTAAAGCTAAGCGATAAGGAGGCTAACGCTTATCTCCTCCTTATACCTACGCCGCCTAATATCCGTAAATATAAAGCCCTCGCCGTGGACCCCGATACGGAGGAGGCCACGGCTACCCCGTCTTCCACTATCACGGCTACTCCGTCTTCTACCACACTAAAGGGCGATAAGGCTATAGACGCTACAGACGCCGTTACTACGGCTACTATAGCCGGTACTACGGTGACTATAGCCGCCGGTAAGAAGAAGATAGCCGCCTAATAGAAGGCTATATCCGTAACAAAAGAACTACCGATAAGGACGCCTACGTTTATCGATAACCTCTCTAAAAAGGGGCGTACGCGCTACCTATAAGATTACCGTGTATACCGCGAGGAAAAGGTAAACTATAACGCATAGTAGAAGGAGTTTAACGAGGTATACTCCTATATTAAAAGGACTATTTACACCACGTTATATAACCTCCTCGCCTAGCTATAGGATAATACCGTAAATAAGCTATAGGCCTAGATTACCCGCCTCTATGTATATACTAGACTAATACCTATAGACCTTTATAAGGAAGCCCTAGTCCTATACCGATAATATACTACGCCTATACAGGCTATACCTAAGGATATAGACGGCTAGGTTATAAGCTAGAAAATGACGATAATACACTATAAATATATAGGCGTTTTAGAGCTATTAAGCGCGGACTATTAGGCGGAAGACGCCTTAAAAGCTATTAGACCTATCGCCTAGGAATAGAGTAATAACTACCTAGTAAATAACTATAATAAGAGTACGAAAACCGAGCTAACGATTAACGATTTCGTAAAGGCTTTGCGGGCGGTTCTTAGTAATATAAAGAGCCTGGAATCCACTGCTATAAAGCCTAGAGTTAGGAGAGGCACCTTTAATACCCTTAGGAACCTCTCTGATACTAAGGATACTACTAATAATAAAGATAATAAGGAGCGTCCTCGTAGTAATATATCTATAAAGGCTATCCCTCCCGTAATAAGGAGGCCTTATAAGATATATATGAATACTTATACTACCGCCGCCTATTTGTATATAAGGCCGGATATACGCCCTTATACCTAGCGTGGCCGTGAAGATATTACGAAGGTTATAGAAAAGAAGATACGTAATTATAGTTTTAAAAGCCGCGTAGATACCGCGATATAGAAAAGACGGGAAGCCTTAGGGGCTATTACCGCTAATAAGATAGAGGAAGTCTAGGAAGATTAACTTCATAGTACTACGCCTATCATAACTACTATACTATAACTATAAAATCGGGGGGTTATTAGGCTACCCGTAAGTATAGTTTTAAAAGACCTTTCCGTTACTGCGAGTATACGGCTAGGCGTCTACCCCTCCTAAGAAGGGGGGGTAGCGCGCTCTTATACGATAATACTATTAAGATTATAAGAATAAGGAGTATCCTTATCTAGTAACTAAGCCAAAGCACTGCTATACTACGCGATCCTAGACTTAAGATCGTTAATCTATATTTTTAATAATTAAGGCTATTTTACGGCTATTAGACCGTGTATTAGTAAGCTATTATTACTTTAGGTAGGTATTTATAAGGCTTTTATCCTCGGATATAGAGACGTTAAGCTACGAGTATAATCCTTATCGGGCACGAAAAGGCTACTATACCTCTATAATATTGTATACTATAAGAAGTTCGTTACTAATATTATCTCGGAATACTAGGTACGTCTATAAGGCTACCGCTAGGATACTATAAACGATACTATTATTAGCTTTGCCGATAACCGGTCTATCTATAAGCGACTAGATATCCACGGCTAGTATATAATCGAGCGCGCGGAAGCCACGGCGGCTACTATAACTGGATAAAGACGTAGTGACACCAGATCGTTAAGACAAAGATTAGATAAAGAGGTTAGTCTAGTAAAACCACGATATATAACCAACATATACCTAACACCGCTATAACCTTTAGCGAAGAAGTAGATCGGTAGTCACTATTCTGATTAGGGTAACGTAAGTTAAAGTGGAAAGATACCTTAAACGTAGAATAAGTAATTATAAAAGAGGATAATAATTGAATTATAGTCTCTTAATAGGGATATCCGGAGCCTATCCTTAATATATATATAGAAGGTGGATCCCGTAGCCTTAAAAAGGGGGTTATATAACCGTCTGCCGAAACCACGTTAACGCCGTATCTGCGCGGTTATAATACGGCGCTAATTATCTCGATTACGCCCTTATAGCGTAGATAACTCCCGAAAATAAGCAGATATAAGCAAATAAACTAAGTAAAAAGCTATCGTTTACTCTTATTCCTTTAATTACCCCGGCCTCTACGTATACTAAGTTAGGGATCCTCTTAGCTCTAGTTCCTCCGTAATTATCGTTCCCTTACTATCCTTACTAACTATATCCTTAAGACGTCGCTTATCTAATCCTTTATATATACTCTTACTTACGCTTTCGTTAAGTTCTTCCTCCTACTATATAGTTAGGCTTATTAGCCTTCCTAGCCTTTTAATTAGCGGTAGCTTTATCTACCTCCTATTTAATTCCCGTGTTATAACGAAGCTATCCTTCCTATGGTACTATCTAAGGTAGCGGTAGATATAGCGCGCTATGAGCTATTATATCTCGGAGGCCTACTCGGTAAAGGTTATTAAAGGACTTAACTTATTCTTCCTTAGTGTATAGGCTTAGCCTGATAGGACTAACGCGCTTAGCTAAAGGCCGTATATCTACGAGTCTATAGTAAAGCAGGTAATAAGATATCTTAGTGCCCTTAGCCTAGTACTTCGCCT